CCAACCAGTACCCGGTGCACACCTCTTGTCCCATCCATGCGCGCTACATGCCCCGCCCATCTCATTCTTCTCGACTTAACCATTCGACTTCATTCAAGACTTCCAAATAAAATTATGTGACACTTCCTCATCGCTTCCATGCGTGTTACATATCCAGCCAACCCTTCTCATAATCCTCAGGGAACGTCGGAATCGAGTGGTCGGCACTCATGGTTTGTATTCGGGAGGTTCTGGGTTAAAATGTTGGTTCAGAGACGAGATACCTTGATTTAAGTTTTTCGTGGTTTATTCACCCCTCCCCCCCAAGTTGACTTAAATTAGGCCACTGTGTTACAATTGGACGCTGTACCTATAATTCTGAGAAACTGGAAAGGTCTTTAAGAAAACCTTAAAGAAATTCACAATCAGCTGTTTGATAGCAGCACCTCATTAATGTTGATTTTTTCAGCTTTCTGTTTCTCCTGTCACTTAGGTCCAGATAAGCGTATTCCCCTCAGGAGCCAGGTCTCTAACACACTCAGTCTCTGTTCTTCTTAATAACGCGATGATGAAATACAGAGGCAAAATTACATTTTGATTCCACAGGTAATTTAGTCACAGAAATATCATGTTGCAAGTTTAACATTCTATTGACTTTCTCTTAAAAATTATTAATTTATTTACGACATTTATTATGTTTATGATACAAATTAATATGCATAAGCAAAGTGTAATCGATTATTCTGATCATTTAGGATAAAAATCGACGATTTAAGGAATCTATTTATAGACTAAAAATAATGGTATACGAATAAAAATAACTTAAAGCCTTGTGCGGAACAAGGTGATAATATGGCAAAGTTTATTTCTAACGACCCTCCTGCGCTTTCGGAATGGCGTGTGCATCAAATTTTGCCAAAGACTCGCCAAAACGGCTACGGAAACCTATGAAATGCTAAAGCAAGCATTTGGGGAGTCCGCAAACTTTTGTGTGGCATTCACGTTTTAAAAATGGCCGAACCTCTGTCGATGATGACGAGCGTTCTGGACGACCATCTTCGAGCACAACGCCCGAAAATGTTAGGAAGATTCGGCAGGCCATTCACGAAGCTCGACGTCGTACCATCAACGACTTGTGCGACATTGTTGGGATAGGCTATGGGACCTGTCAGCTGATTCTAAAGGAAGAACTCCACATGCGACGCATCATGACAACGCACCAGCGCACACCGCCTTCAAAGTTCGGCAGTTTTTGGCCTCAAACACTATGGCCGTCATCCCGCACCCTCCTTATTCGCCGGATTTAGCTCCGTGTGACTTCTTCCTCTTCCCAAAGATGAACATTCAGCTAAAGGGAAGGAGATTTGAGGCGATAGAAGAGATTCAGGCAGAATCGCAGATGGTGCTTGACAGGCTGACCAAGAAAGATTTCCAGGGATGCTTCCAGGCTTGGCAGCGGCGCTGGGATCGTTGTGTTCACTCCCAGGGGAACTACTTCGAGGGTGATGGATGAATTTAATACCTGAGATAAGTGTACGGGTTTTTATAGACGCAGTCTTGAAACTTTCCGATCGCACCTCGTATGTTATCAGTCGTAGTTTGTTTGTTTTGCCGTCATGGTGGTAATGGCGTTTAAGTCTGATTAGTGGCGACCAGAACATCGTAATTCCGCTGCAACAGCGACTCACTGTGACCTAAGCTTTCCACTTGTCGTTGTTCTCGCCTTGTGCGCTCCACTGTGAACTTTGTAGCATCGCTGCTAGAAGCAAAGGTCGATACGAATGTAGCTGTATAGGCAAATGGATTCAGTCAAAATGGCTGACTTGGATAATGTGTGTACAGTGCGTGTTGGCTTGAGCCGCGTTCTGCGTTCCGACTGGAAACACTCGTGGAAAGAGGCCGCCTAGTAAGCAGATTAATATCGACTAAATGTATTGACAATTAGAAGCTGATGTTGTTCGCTGAGCTGGTCAAGAATTTACATATTTTATGGAAATCGAAAGTTCATGACTGTCTTCATAAGGGCCTCCACTGATAAGTTCTCTGACTCGAATCGAGTTCACATTCTTACAGTTTCTTTAAAAAATATAGTACGGAACAAGAGGTAGGCTTATATTTTATGTTTCTAAATATAGCATCTTCATTTGGCACTGATTTTTGAAAGAAGTCATGTTATTTTCGTATCCTTAATTTCCGAGAACACGTGTGTGAATGCCTGTGTGTGTGATGTATACAAGCCGATGTATGTATGAGATTTGAGCAATTTCTGTATGCACTTACATTAATCGCTGATTATATGAAATTACTTTTCCATGTAATCTGTGTGGTATGAATAACAGAATACGATGGAAGTGTACTTTCGTCTGTCTGTTCATTAATATTTTTAAAAATATTTTATGGTACTGTATAATATTTAGTAAAGTCCTTCTTAAAATAAAAAAATTGTCAAAAGGCTTATATTTTATGTTTCTAAATATATCATCCAGATTTGGCAGTGATTTTTGAAAGAGGTCATGTTATTCTTGTATCCTTAATTTCCGAGAACACGTGTGTGAATCCCTGTGTGTGTGATGTATACAAGCCGGTGTATGTATGAGATTTTGAGAAATTTCTATAAGCACTTACATTAATCGCTGATTATATGAAATTACTTTTGCATGTAATCTGTGTGGTATGAATAACATAATACGACGGAAGTGTACTTTCGTCTGTCTGTTCATTAATATTTTTAAAAATATTTTATGATACTGTATAATATTTAACAAAGTCCTTGTTAAAATGAAAAATTTGTCAAGTTTTTGTTTTTACAACTATCACTGAGCCCCTTCGACGTTGTCAAATTTAACATGGGCCTACGCGTGCTCTTGAGTAGCAATTTAAACAAATTGTGTGACCTGGAGGACACGAATTCAGCTCATCCTTGTTCATCGTGACCTCAACAACAAGGAGAGCAATAGCGAGCCGGTATAGAGCACTCCAGCTTGGAGTACAAGGTTTTGAAACACTTTCTTTTTCGAAGATGACTTCTGGGTTGTAGCGGCGTGTAGTCTGGTAGAAGTTTACCAGCGTTTTAAAGGCCCTTGCTGCAATGATCGACCTGATGATGGCGGCAGCAAGGACCTCTGAATCGTTGGTAAGTTTCTACCCGGATGCATGCCATTTTCGTAGTCACCTCCGTGAGAACCTGAACCTACCCGTTTATTAAACGTTTACAAAGAAGCCACATACAAGACCTAGGCATAGATGTGAGTAAAGAATTATATTGGATCTTGAAGAAATAGGACATCAGGCAATAGACTGTATTATAATGCCTGACACTTCTAAATACGTTAAACAACGTTGGTGTCCGAAACCCGCTGAGCGACTATTAGCTTCCGAAAGGAGAGACTCCGCCATACAGTAGGCCTAGACCAACGTGTCAGGCTGTGTCCTTTGCGTGTAATTTGTGAAAAAACACAGGATATCAATTGTACCTTCGCCTGTGATCGAAGTGACTTTCAAGTCTGAATAAAGAGCAAATGTTTAACTTTTGAAACTTTCAAACGCTCTTCGTCGCGCAGTAATTGTGTTCCCAAACAAAACTTTTTTTCCGTGATGGCGTTCTGAGACTTCGGCAATGTCGTCAAACTATCGCCAGTAACGTCTAGGTCTCTTTTTACAGTAAAAATGTCCTTATTCCTTATTGAGACACCTTTTCCTGCATACAGTTATCATCTAAATACCTTTGTCACCCACTAAAAACCCAAAGAAACTCATGCCAACATCCATATTTCGAGAAAGATTCGAACCCATCATCCCAGATTTTAAGACGCCTATGTTCCTATTATTCCTAGATCTACACCATGTATAGCCTTTCTTTCAGGTTCTGCAGATGTAACACGTATCTAGTGAGTAATGAAACAGCAGTTATTATTACTGCTTTTTCATCATTGCATGGCCTTATTTCTGTACATTTGCCATAGTTTCAGTAGACATTGTACAGTGTAGGTTTCTCTCTGTGAGATATTTGTTGTTATTGTTGCATGTGGTGGGGATATTGTCTCCCGTTGGGGTGGTATGCCTGTCTGCCAGCATGCCAGACATGATTAATGAGTGTAGGCTTTGAAACATTGAAAAGGCTGGTCTGATCATGTGACATGTAGATATTTGCTTGTGTGTCCAGTATTTTATTAGACTTATTATGTATGTATGTATATTTGTAGTTGAACAATCAGTGGTACAGGAGAAGGGTAAATTAACTTCCGTCATATTCTGTTCTAACCCGAAATGTTGACAGTTTGTGCATGAATTATTATTTTTATTTTTGACAGGATTTGTGTGTAATTGTTACGAGTTACTTAGACTGACAGCATTAATTGATCCGTTGTGCTGTGCTTTAAATTTATTAAGTCGAGATTTTGATATGTCTTCTCTTATACGAAACCCGAAATGGTGTGCCGTGTTGATTACAGCCCGCCATAATTTCACTCCCAGTACAGATGAATCCAGCCCAAAACCAGATACCCCATTTCTTTAAAATCAATTTTAATATTATCCTCACATATTTACTCTTCTCCCAAATGCTGTATTTGTGCCCCTTAGATTATCTGACCAATATATTGTTGCATTTGATTTATTTTATTTTTTGCACAGAAAATAGCCTAATAATGACAAATTTAATTTTTATTTATTCCGTTGCATGTGTCTGAATTGCAATCTCCTGTAACGACGTTTATGATGACTAGCGTAAGATATCCCTTACCCACAAAAAGATTCTCTATCGATTTTGTATGTGGGGCATCGACCAGAAGATCAATATCGGTTTATATCCTTACCGCTAATTTGATATTTATTGACGTTTCCCCTCTGTTTATCCAATTAAGCATTTTGGGCCTTACTTTCAAATACACAGCTCCACTCCCTTTCACACTGCGCATGTGCGGTAGTTAGAGAAGTACAGTTGTAGAGGCTCTTTTGAGCGCTTACTTCCCAAATCGGACAACCGAAGGTCACCATGGCGTTTGTGTGACCTCTTGTTGCAGAGGGAAGAGAGTGCGTCAACTGCGGGGCGACATCGACGCCATTATGGCGCCGTGACGGAACGGGACACTACCTGTGCAACGCGTGTGGCCTATACTACAAGATGAACGGACAGAACAGGCCTCTCATCAAGCCAAAGCGACGGCTGGTGAGTGTCATACTACATGATTATCTCCCTGAATATTTGCTTCCCTAAACTCTCAACTGCCCATCAAATTGTCCAGACGTGAGAAATTTTATGAGGTTTTCACGGCGGTGAGTATGAAGATTTCTGTCTTCTGGGTTGTTGCGCCGTGTAGTCTGGTAATTTACCGACGTTTTAGAGGTCTCTGCTGCCTCCACCACTAGGGCTCCCTGATGATGGAGGCAGCAGAGACATCTGAAACGTCGGTAAATTACCAGACTACACGGCGCAACAACCCAGAAGACAGCCATCTTCATGTTCAATTAGCAAGTCTCCGGACATCCAGGCGTGCTTGATATTTTGTAGATGAAGGCTAAGCCAAATCTAGTTATTATTTAATCCAGTTCCATCTTAACTTGAATTGTATGGACACAGAGTGGTTGTTTGCCGCTAAGTTGGGAACACATCGATTTTGAAAGTAGTTGGATAGAGGAGGCGTGGTCGGAGGGGTGAATTTAGTATTGGAGAAGGGAAAAGCGCCCTTGTGCAGTTTGTTACGTGGTACAGAAACACACTCATTTTAAACAGATAAATAATGAAAACATGTGGACACGTGTTCGTCAAATTGTAGTCCGCAAGTCTCAGATGGGTGCCAAGCAGTCAGCAGTGCAGAAGGTACGGGGCCATTTCACAAAGTAACGTTTCGTCCGCTTTTTCTATTCAGTCAGGGGCTCGTTTAATATGTTTTAGGTCCTATTTATTTTACGCTCATAATAATTTGGCTTGTAGCTCTTTTGTCCGATAATATTTCTGTTCAGTTTGTGGTGTGTTCTGTTTTTATTCTCTCTTGATGCAACTAACACTGTGTCCCTCTCACCACAGCAAGTATGCATCACTCTGACCATCGAATTTCAGTGCGATTGTAAGAAGAAACTAAGAAAAAGAATGAAGAATTATGTTTAATATTCTGAACACGACAATAAATCCAAAAAGGGATATTGGACAATAAGTTAATATAGTAGCACATTTTCACGGGAAAGTAATTCAGCTCTATTTCTCCTTTTTACTCAAGACGCCTGAGAAACAAGCACGAAGCGTGTCTTTCTCAAACGTAATTTTGTCTGTGTGCAGGTATGTCAATGTTGGTCTGGTCTGTAACGCCGTTTGAATTTATTTTTTGTTACAAACAGCTTCGTGGAACCTACTTCTTTTATCTTCAGTGCTGAAGAAACCGATTTCTTAATTAGCATAGCTGCTATTAATTTCTTAAGAATAATTCTGCCCCGTATATTTAGTTAAATAAACATACTTGGTGAACTAGTATTTTAAGACTTGTGGATTTGTATGAACTTTTACTGGAGGTATGGAACCTAAGGACAGACCCCTGGAAGTGTTTATTCAATCAAAATGCATTAATTTTCTGCACAGGAATATCTTGATTTGAACTTTTAATCAAATTTAACCATCATGGTAACTACATGGTAATTACATGCGGGTAGTAAGCTGTTAGCTGGATATTTTTACGTATAATACGGTAAACGTGCTGCTAAAAAATAATAATCAATCATTAAATTATTCATTGGTGGAAATAAATGATAATCACGCAAATTACACATTGTCTCATATCGTATTAGTGTTTGTTAAAATATCATAAACGTGTCGTGAGTTTTATTTTGTAGTCCGCAAAGAAACATTTTCAAGTCTGTACCCGTAGTGTTTTGTTTTCACAGTGACACACTCGTTACGTGTGTGACAAAGCAGCAAAATGATGTATCGAGTCCCGTCGCCTTTTCATGTGAAGTAAGTGGTATTAGCCATTATACTGACGGAACACTAGCGAGGCTATTAGTTGGTCCATTCTTTCGTTAAAAGGCTTGTCATTGTGGACTCGAAGGCTGCCAGCTCGATGAGATGAGATGGGTCCACTGCTCCTTTATGTTGTATAAAGGATTACCACGTCGGTCGGCTTATGGGCGTGTCTGCATGTATATTGTATTTGAAATTCATTTAGTATAATTTATTTAATACGAAAATAGTGGCATTTTAATGTACTAGCTTAAAGATTGATGTCTGATAAAAGTGATCCGAAATGGTAAAATACTTGTTCGTGTATTTCAAGTTGTTTTATTTAAGAGCTAATGTCGTTAGTGCTTATAGAATTACAGCATATTTTGTTTTGTCAGGGTTAAACTGCAGTATTTTTCATTTATTAGTAGAGCGACTAGTGAAAATTACGTAGATGCTTAATTGTTAATTCTAAGTCCTCGTTGTGACGTACAAATTGGTATATTTCAGTAAATCCCGATCAGTGTCCACGCGATCTAAGACTTCGGTCTTGACCACAAAACACCAAGATTACGGGTTTTATCCGACTCGAAGCAGCATGGATATGTGTATGCGTCCTTATGTGTTGTTTTATGTTGATAGATGCCTCGTGACTGGCTGATCTCCCACCCAAAGAGTCCTTCCAAACGTGTAACATTAGGTTTTAAATTTAAATCGTGACTGGCTGATCTCCCACCCAAAGTGTCCTTCCAAACGTGTAACATCAGGTTTTAAATTTAAGGTTTCAAAATGTTTTATTAGGCTAAGGAATTTTAAGCGCGCTGCAGAAGAATGATTTCGTAGTATGGATGACGACGAATTTGATTCGGCCTGGCTTAGATTGTGACTTTTTACCGAATGTACACGAGTAAAGTGAAGTATTATTTGCAAAAGGATCTATGTGACTACCGAATTAATGGCTTTCTTAATTCATTAACTACTGTGTTAATTATTAGGTTAGTAAGAGGGGCAGGTTTCAATATAGTCCACTTTCCAGCTTCAACATTTTCTGACATAGGCGTTCTACGTGGCCCCTACTTTTGAACAATTATAAGTTACATAGACTCTATATACACGAAATGCGTAAAATTGACTAATGATGCTGATGAATATTTACATATGTATGATTTGAGGTTTTCGCAGCGGTGAGTATGAAGATTTCTGTCTTCTGGGTTGTTGCGCTGTGTAGTCTGGTAGATTTTTACCAACGTTTCAGAGGTCCTACTGCCGTCATCATCAGGGCGATGAATTCGGATTTACTGCCTCCATCAGCAGGGCGATGAATTCGGATTCAGTATGGCCTCTGAAACGTTGGTAAACATCTACCAGACTACACAGCGCAACAACCCAGAAGACAGAAATCTTCAATGTTTACATATATTGAATCGAGAGTACTTAAAGTAATATGGTAAAATATTCTATCGGTTATAGAGTCTACCGTGAAGGATGTCGAGTACAGTTCAACTTACTTCTTGGTCCAGAAGAAACATGCAACTCATAGGTCTTGTTTACAATATTTTGAAACAAAACTTGTGAGATGTGTGTGTGAACGTTTTTATCTTGGAGTACTGCAATTTCCCGTGCGATGTGTTCAAGTGGTTGTGACCAGAGCTTCTGTGTTACGCAGGTCCGATGTAGTATTGTCGTTCCTGAAACCGACTGTCCTCATGTTTGTCATTGTTAGTTCCAGTCTCTGTGAAAAATGTTGGAGTTTTACACGACTGCTTCCTTTCATGTTTATCTAAAATGCTTTATTTAATGTAATTTTTAAATGCCAAGCTATATAATGTGATGCATGAAGTTAGAAACGCTTCGTTGGGTAAGGGGAAAATATCAACATGTCATGTAAGAACCGTTACTCGACGTAAAGTATCAGTCTTATTAAGTTCCGTAAATGTTATTTGGTAATATTTTATATGAATAACAGCGTTTGTAGTGAAGTACAAGGAGACATATTTATAACCCCTCTAGAGATGTCTGCTTGATTAAATTGATAAAATATAGTTTATCTTATCTAAGCTGAATCGTTTTACATTTGTCGCTGTTTCCGTTATAGACACTACTGAAAATTAAATTTCTCGATCGAAATTCTCTGTGTAGTCAATCTCAAAAGGTTTGTGACTATTTGATTCAGTAAGTGAATATTATATTTGTCATTATTAACTGTGTAAGACATAGCTTAATATGTACAATCTGTCAAAACTCCCCCATTAATATAGAATAAAACTGAGCAAAACGTCTATCAGTAAGCTTACCTACAATGATAGAGAATCTCCTGAAGATGGGAGTAAAGACAACTCCCGAAACGCTGAGTAAACGAATGTATCTCAGATAATGGGCGATGTACGACATAATATTGGAACTGTTTTGTCACCATTTACACTTCACAGTTTTTTTTTGAACTCATAGGTCAGATTTATTAAAATGGCTCTACATCAAATCTCATTGTTATTCTGCAGCAAATAGAAAACCTATTTGCTTTATTTTGGAAATTGCTTGGACAATCTTTTTAAAATCCTTGTCCTTTGTGTCGAATCCTGTGTTAAGTTTAGTTTATCACACAAATTGTGTTGGCGAAATCCTAATGCACGTAATAAAGTCGTCAGTGGGACACGTCCATAGAGACAGAATACATATGGAACATTATTCACTCATCTTATGTATTATGAAAATCATTGGTGGAAAAAAAAATCTTACTGTCCTACCTTCTCATTTTTTCAATTCCTGTGATTGTTATCAGCGACTCCACCTCGTGGCAGTAACAATAATAACAGAAGCGCAGCGCGGTAGCTGCTGGCAGTAGTCCGCGCTCTGTGATGCTATCTTGTTCTCGCATCTCGAAATGGAACGTTTTAAAAAAATTCAACCCAGGAGCAGATGTGGAAGTGAAGGTGGAAGGAGGAGGGAATGAAGGGGAAGTACCACTATTGTTAGGGCTATAGGGCACCACCCTTTTCTGAAGAGAGATTTTTTTATAAAAATGCCCTTTGGTATCTTTCAGAGTGGTCATTGTACCTCAGCTCTCCCATGTTCTTTTAAACCCCATGGTGTTTTGAGAAATAGTAACTGTAGCTGAAGCTAAGGTATTATAGAAATGAGGTCTTGTAAGAGGAATGGATTGTCTAAAAGAAGGGGAGATCTTTGACAATGACATAATAAATAATGGGTCCAAAGAATATGTTATGACATGGTTAGTTTTT